GAGGAGAAGAAGGAGAATTTTTTCCAAGGATGATGTCACATGCCTGTAATCACAGAACTTGAGAGGTTGAAGCAGGATGATCTTTACAAGTTTGAGACCAATGTGGGCTACATAGTGATCTCAAGGCCAACCTGAGATGTATAACAAGACCCTTTCACAAAAAGAAAAAACAATAAGAAATGCTCTCCATACTTTTATGCTGCTGAGGATAATTCTGTAGAAGGGAATAAACCATAATTAAAAGAACAAAAAAATTGAAATAAAAGAAAAGCCTAAAGTAAAATATTCATTAATTGCATTTTAACTGTAAAAGGTAATTTTTTCTTGATGGAAAAGACAGCATAAATAAAATCAGACAACAAATGCATTTTGTAAGATGAAATATAGACATCATAACTTGAAGTCCACAATATATGAAGCAAATCTTAAATAAATAACTAAAAGTAACACGATGGATTTAGCAAATGCGTTAGCAAAACTCAGAGCTTAATAATGTCCAGTGTCATAAGAACATGAGCAACACAAGCAGAAAGTGGGCAACTGAAGTGAATGGACATTTCTCAGAAGAAAAACTATAGATGGCCTATCAATGTGTGAACACGTGCTCAACACTGCTGGCCATCAGACATACAAATACAAACAACACTAAGATTCCAACACACTCCAGCAAAAATGGCGATCATCAAGAAGTCAAACAATAGCAAATGCTGGTGAGGCTGTGGGGGAAAAGGAGCCCTTCCACCTTGTAGGAGAGACTGCAAACTAGTACAACACCAGGGAAGTCAGTATGAAGATTCCTCAAAAACCTAAAATGAGAAATTCCATTGATCCACCTATTCCCCATCTAAGAATCTTCCCAAAAGAATTAAAGATAGCACGTTACAGTGGCATATGCAATCCACGTTTAGAGAGAACACAATCCACAATAGCTAAATCATAGAATTCCCTCAATAGATGAATGGATAAAGAAAATGCGGTATTTGTATACAACACAGTACTTCTTTACCACAAAGAAGGATAAACTTCCATCATGTACAGGAAAGTGGATGCACCTTAAGACCACAGTGTTGAGTGAAATACATCAGACACAAGCTTAAATATCACACGGTTTCTCCTATATGACAAACCCAAAATACAAATAGGGAGCAAAATGAAAGATCACAACAGGAGGGGAGATAGATTTTTTCAAATGGGAAGGGAAGCAGGACATGGAAGTAGGAGGCAGGGATGGGAGGGAAAAGGGATTAAAATAAGAACTGAGATGTGACAATATATGTATACCAGCTTCCTTCAAGGAATGCAATCATTATGTAACATAAACATGTGCCAATAAAAAATAAAAACTGAAATTAAAAGGACATAGAGCAACAGCACTCTGAAGAGAATGAGGTTTTGATAGGAAATAAGATTATAGTGCAACAATGACTAACCAAAAGATACTATTTAGTCTCACTTAGCTTTGCAAAACTCTGTGCATACCTGTTCAATCAAAAAACCCAAAAAGGATAATATAAAAAATGTTAATACTCACAGCTATAAAACAGGGTGAATTTGAGTCTTTTGTAGATAAATGGACAAAAGAGAACATACTCTTAAGTGAAATAAATCAGAGAACATACTCTTAAGTGAAACAGAGAACATACTCTATTTGAAATAAATCAGACCTGCACATGCAAACATCACATTGTCTCCATTGTGTGGGAACCTGAAAGAATCTTAAGAGTACAATTTATACTGGAAAAAGGGAATGAACTTGCTCAAAAGGAAAGAGTTACTGAATTGAGGAAAAGGACAGGAGAGGCAGTGCAGGGCAGAGTTA